TAAAGGGTGTGTGAGGGCTTCGGAAAACACTAACAGAACAACGGAGACCACGCACCTGCGAGCTCCACGACCTCTTGATTTATCATGAGCGTATCAAGCGATAATATGGAACTTTCGCCGACAAAATCTGAACAAGTTTCCGCATGCGAGAAACTCAGAGATACTGTCACAGGAATCTCAGCTCTTCATCTATCGATCCACGGGATGGACGGACGTTCACCCAGCCCTGGAAATGCATACATGGACTTGTACTACTGAAGCACCCAGGCCATGATCAGGAGAAAGGAGGAGTTGGTAAGTGAGCTTCAAACCCTCCCGCCAGATTGCCAGGATCATAAGATTCCCTCTACCTCGGTAGAAGAGGAAATTAATTTTGTTCCCTCCCCTCCTTTTATTAAAAATAAGATTGAAAATAAAAATAAAACCAATAGCAAACCTAAGAAAAAATTTAGCAAAAAGCGTAAACAGAAAGGTAAGGATTCCACGGAAGAGTTTATCTTTCCCAAAAAGACGGCCAGACCGATCTCTCCTACCTCTACCCAGGACCCCATAGAAACTAACAATAGTTTCTCCGATCTTGAACAGGATGTTGAGCATCCTCCCCCGATTGAAACAACTGAAGTAGTTACACCTAAGATTCCCCCCCCACCCTATAATGCTTAAAATTAAAAAGAATTTCAGAGAGCAAATTAAACGCATCTCTGAAAAATTCCCTAATGTAAGAAACAGAATTGTTAATGACGTCGTAAAAATGTTCTCAACTGACCCCGAAGAATACAGAAACCTTAGACACTTTTTAGAAATGGATAACGATTTCGAATTTTACATTCTCAAACGCCAAAAAGATAAACCAATTAAAGCCGTTATTAAAGGCCTCCCTAATTCTGCTTTAATTACTGATATCACTAATGACTTAAAATTAATCGGATTCAATAGATAGCTGCAAGCAACTAATCTCCAAAAGAACTAAAAAATCCCTCCCATATTTCCTAATTACTTCACCAAGAAACGATTTAAATAGTAAAATTTTTGACATCAAAAAGTTGGGTTGTTTGCAAGTGAAAGTAGAAGGTTACCTCGTTAGAGGAATAACCCAATGCTTCAACACTGCAATAACTTCTACCATACTGCCGCGAATTGTTTTATGAAACCAAGATGCCTTAAATGCGATAAAGACCATGCCACTCGAAATTGTCACATCAAAGAACGACAAGAAAACCCATTTTGTATCAACTGCCAGGACTTCGGTCACTCGGCATGTTACACTAAATGTCCCTAATTCCCCCAACCCAAAAAAGGCACTGCCTTTTCCGATCCGATTAAAAGAAAAAAATTTTCAAGCAAATGGACAAAAGAGGGAATTTCCTTCGCTAACGTTGTTAGCGGAGAAATCCCCAATCAGATCCCCTCCGAAACCGAAAACCTAACTGCAAATAAAAAGGAAGACTCTTCCAGTGGATTCCTTACCCAAGATAATAACAGTTCAGACTTTTTCCCAAGTTTTGGAACTTTTTAATACTATCTCAAACCTCGTAAAGAAAAACCCCAAAATTCTCGACCTTCTCTCTAAATTTAAAACAGCTAATTCCGACGAAGAAAAAACCTGCCTTCTGGCAGAAGCTTTAATGAACAATATTTAAATTTCCCTATTATTCTTAATTGCAACTTTTATTTTTCTCCCCTTAACTTTTTAAAATTCTCTCAATTTAATCGAATTTCTCTTTTTAAAATTTTAAAATCACTTTCTATTTCAAAGTACATGATTTCAATCTTAAAAGCTCACTGCCATCCTCCAATCAACGATCGCTCCATAGCCAACGCCTCCTGCACTGCCATTGGACCTCCTCCTCTGAAGTCACGCCCCTCTCTTCAAACCCGTTTCCAAAACCACGAAAATCAGAGTCCCAGATAGAGGATAGAAGGATGCTGGCGCATCCTAGATTCCTGGTTATAAAATCATCCGCAATTCGGGAAACACTACAGTCGTTGGCGTAATGCAAGCATGTAAAGAGTTATCCGAAGTCCAAAACGGCATAATTTTTGGCTTTCGGGAAAAGGTTGGAAGCATTTCCTTAACGGCTAAGTTTGTGGACTGTTCGTGTGTCACCGTGGTTAAAGTATACCGTGCATGGCAAAATGGGACCGTCCAAAATCAGTGACGTGGCAAATGTGGTGTACCACGGGCCATAGGTGATAGAGGTGACTGACGCCTGCAGAGGTGAGTTCGGGAGACTAGACGTGCTACCGTTAAGCAACATACCACCCAGATGAACCAAGGGGCTACCAACAGTGGCTTCCAAACTACTGTTCAGCGATCGTTGTTGCGTCTGGTTCTCCGAAGCAGGCGCCTGGTTCATGCACCTATGCTGACTGCTGTTCATCAGCAACAAAGACTGGAATTTTCACACAGGTACCGCAACTGGGCATTCAATGAGGTGACAGGTAGAGTTTTCTGATTAATCACGCTTTATACTCCATCGGACGGATGGTTGGTGGCAAATACGGCATGAAACGTCTAAAAGCAAACACCCTGCAACAATTGCTGGCAAGGTTCAGGCTGGAGGTGGGAGCATTATGGTCTGGGGAATGTTTTCCTTAAATTTTCTGTGTTTATTCATCATTGTGGAAAGCACGATGGATCAATAGAAGTACGCATCTGTCCTTTCAGACCATGTCTACCCCTTTATGCGCATTGTTTTTCCTCAGGATGGTGGCATCTACCAGCAGGACATTGCGGAGTGTCATACAACTGACAGCGTACGTGCGTGGTTCAAAGAGCACCAGGATCAGTTTATCGTTCTTCTGTGTCCAGAAAACTCACCTGACTTAAACCCAATCAATAATCTATGGAACCATCTCGATCGGGTTGTTCGCGCCATGTGAATCCTCACGCGCGTAATCTAGTGCAGCAATAGAAAAAGAGTCGGCATGGCTCAACATCCTAGTGAATACCTTGAGGATCCTAAATGACTATTTTTCCCTCTGCGAAAGATGGTTATTCTGGCTTCTGACAGTGGTCACATTAATATGACTGGACTGTGCATATTACCACACAGTGGGAAAAAGTACATTAACAATAAATTTTAAAAAATGGCATCTAAAATTAATTTCACGTCACTAAAAGTTTTTGATATTCTTTAAACTTTCAGTATAAGGACATTTTTATTCCTATTCGATATTTTTATTTTTCACAATTTCCGTCTTTGATGTATAAGATACAGCCACAATACTATCTTTAAAATAAATACAATATTAGTACATGCGTGACAATGATTGTATATAAAATTAATTGGTGAAGTGTAAAAATTTCAGATTTTTCTCCATATATATATATATATATTTTCGTGATGCTGCAATAAATTTATTTATACATAAGGTATAGTTAATAAAAGCAACTATATATATTTACAGTAAAATGGGGCAAAACTACAGTTTGGATAAATTTACATTAATGATGATGGTGAGGCTTTGCATGAACGTGCCAAAATAGTTAAACGTGACGACGTATTGCAAATTTTAAGTAAATTTAAATGCGGCGATTAAGACTTGAAATACATGTAAATTACAGTTTTACAATTTGAGCAATGAGTATGAATAGTTGCATAATTTGTACAATGGGGTTGTTTCGGGGGAGTACTAAAAACTAGAAGGGTCCTCCCCACCACACAGTATTTTTTTTTAAAGAAAAGCTTTTTTAAAAATTTAAATATTAAAATTAACATATCTGAGGGGGAAAATATATAATTAAATCTTAAGTAAGAAAATTATCAGTATTTGCCTCTTAAAATTGAACATGCAATTTTTTTAAAAAATTATTATTGTACTATTAATATTTTACTAAATTTAGAAAGTAAGAAGCAGATAGAGAGAGTCTAAAATTTTTAGTTTGGAGGTAATCCGTGAGTTTGAACGTCATAATGAAAAGCATACTGTGAAAACAATGGTCTTAAAACATGCTTACATACAATGTTTAAATAAAAATAAGAGAAAATACTTCCCGCGTGTATATTAAACATTTTTAAACAATTAGCAAAATACTTTATAATAAGTATTTAGCAGTACAATGCATTACAAATAGTCAAAATTTCAAATGGGAAAAAAATTATTTTAAATTTTTTAAAGTTTTATTCTTCTTTCAATTCCTACTATTAGTTCACTCTCTCCCTATATTTATTTATATATGTAAGTATATCTTGTTCAAATTTTTAATCGTTAATAAAACACTTTCTCTATTCATCCATTCCTCATATATATATTTTTAAACTTGTAGTGGATGACACTTGATGTTTATACAGTATTTTCAAATATTAATTCATTAATTAAATTTTTAAAATGTATAAATAATAACAAACAAAAATATCTTTTATAGTCCATGTAGGAGTGGAAAGGTCTATTAACACCTGCTACAGGGGATGGTTAGTCCCCCTTAGAATGTGGAGTGTGAAGTTTCACCATGTGGTCAAACTGGACGGAAATTCCCTTTCCCCTTGGAGGGTTAGAAAAGAATTCATTCAGTCTTTGGGTACGGCGGAGTGAAGTCATGTCCGAGTGTTGCCAACTGTATACTGTTTTTCTTTAAATGTTTTTTTTTCTTTAAAATAGACCTTAATTAAAATTTAGACGCCATGTTCTTAATTTGATTCCGTGCCCATTGATTAGATTGATTGAATATTAACGTCGCACTGTTCAGCTACACGAGGGCTTTTGGCGACGGACCACGTAATTTTGAACCATGGTCAAGTGACGTGGACGACACCTGAGCTGGCACCCCCCTCTCCTAACTACCACACCACACCAACGGGAGGACGTTTCAGCTCTCGACAGATTTAACGTGCATCGCTGCCCTACACGGCGGGTCTTTAGTGGTACTGGGCTCGAACCCGTGACAAAGCAAGCCACGGTCCGATACCTATACCACTCGGCTACCGCGGCCACGCCCATTGATTAGAATCAAGCTTTAGTGTCCAGCAGCATATATAGAAAGGAAATTTGTTCGTAGTGTCCCTGCAGCGCAATGGATAGCGCGTTGGATCTAATCCAAAGATCGTGAGTTCAAGTCCCACTCCCTGGGATTGCCTAATTTCTGAGAATGTGATTTCTTTTTTTACAATACCACTTCATTAGAATAATTAAATTTAATTAATGAATAAATAGTGACAAACAAAAAAAATAGTCCAACACCCTACATAAAAAGAAAAAAGGGAAACTGCAAGGAAAATCGCTTTCTATTTTGTCACTTAATATTCTGTCATATGTATATACACATATTTCTATTAATTGTAACTCTATTTAATAAAAAGTAACTGAAATAAAATTTTTCTTCGTTGACCTAAGTAGGAATTATCTTAAGAAATTTCTTTTTTATATTACTTGTTCTCCTAATAGCATTATTGATTTTTCGCGAATGGCTTCATTCTTTAATTTTATCATTAGTGAGTCGAAAATAATCATTGTAATATTTGAATAAATATATTTTTATATATGGCATCACTGCATTTGAAAATATCATTTACTCGTCTACTGTACCGAGTGAATCATCAGATAGTATTCAACATATTATCTGAAAAGTATTAATTATATCAAATTTCACCGAAATAATTGATCGTCAAAGAATGCCTGCTTCCGAGATAAGCAAGAAAAATATCACAGTGGTCTTAACCCCAAATGTGTGCGCCGATAATCACAAACTTATCTTTCGATGTTTTCAAAGACTTTCTTCCATTTTCCGAAGAATCTGCTCCGCACGCTGTATTGTTATCAGCAACACATATTTGTACATGATGCGATAGATATTTCGAAATCATAGTTTAACCACTCAAAACCGTTATCTTCGTCACTTTGTTATATCACGTTTGTTCAAAGATAAATATTTTATAAGAATGGCTTCATATCTTTTTCCTGCTAGCTATGATTATATATATGATTCTTTTTCAATATTTCCTTATAGCTAAGCTTTTCATAAAATAATTTTTATTTTAAATTAAAATGCGAAAACGGAAATTGCGAATGTTTCGGGTATTAATTGATCATGCTCTTTACACATTCTGTACAGCCATCAAAAAACATAGAGATCATTAAAGACTTTCGTAATTTTGATTGCATCTAGTTGATTGATATAAATTGATAGTATTGTCAATAATTCAAAAGAGGAACTAAATTTTTTTTTAACTAAATTAAACAGAGAATTCTTTAAATCAGTGGTCGCCAGCCGGTGGTCCGCAGAAAAATTCGAACATTATTTATATTTTTTATGCAGACTGGGGGTGGGGGTGCAAACTATAAAACGACGTAGTGGCTTTTATTAACTGTACCTTGTGTATAAATAAATTTATTACAGGATCTCGAAAAACTTCTTTTATTCATAGAGAGAATCAGATTCAAAAATGATGAGTAACAAAACGTACACTCAGGAACATTGAAAATAGTCACCCAAGAAGGAAGCTAAGTACAATCGCGAAACTTTTCAAATAAGTACAGCGTAATGTGATATGCAAATGATCCAAGTTTTGCGCCAATACGCATGCTCATACACGCCGAGGTGGCGCTACAATCAGGAAGAGGGTGCTATATTAAGACAGCGCAAATTCGAAGATTCATAAACGTAACGATTACCCGCCGATTGTAGGAAGAATTTGGTAAGCGAAACATGCCAGGTAAACGTGCTAGAAGACATTTCTCACAGTTAAGCGAGTTTGAGTGAGACCTGATCATCGGGATGAAAACTGCAGGCTGGTCAATGCGCCGTGTTGCTGGCCAGGTGGATCGTTCGGAGTGTGCCGTTAGAATTTGTTGGGAGCAGTGGACACAAGAAGGTACCCAAGCGCGGAAAACCGGGTCTGGAGCGACCAGGAACACCACGAGGAGAGAGGATCGAAGGATCGTGCGGCAAGCAGTTGTGGACCCCACAGTGACTCGTTCAATGATACGAGCAGACGTAGGCGTAGCAATTGTTCCACAAACAATTTACAGACACCTTGCAGAAGCAAATTTTAAATCCAAGCGCCCTTTCCGTGCACTCTTTAACACCGGAACATCGACAACTGCGTCTACTGTGGTGCCAAGCCAGATCAATGTGGGATGTCACAGATTGGCAAAAGGTTGTGTTTAGTGATGAATCCCGGTTTGTTTTGGGGACACATGATAACCGTGTACGGGTGTGGAGGCGCCCTGGTGAGCGGTTCAATTCCCCCCACACTGTTCTACGTCACACTGCCCGCACAACTGGTGTAATGGTCTGGAGGGCCATAGCCTATGATAGCCGGTCCACTTTAATTGTGATGCGTGGAACCTTAACGGGCCAACGTTTCGTTGATGATATTCTTCGGCCTCATGTAGGACCTTTCCTAAATTGTCTCCCAGGGGCAATTTTCCAGCAAGATAATGCTCGTCCGCTTACAGCAAGAGTTGCTCAAGACTTCCTACGTCATTTTCAGACTCTTCCATGGCCGGCCCGCTCCCCCGATTTGTCCCCTGTAGAGCACGTGTGGGATCAGCTAAAACGGTAGATGTCATCGTGTCACTCTGTACATGATTTAGAGTTGGCTGTTGAAGATTTGTGGGTCCATCTGCCTCAGGACAGCATAAGGTGTCTAATCAACTCAATGCCGGACCGTGTGGCGGCATGTATTGCAGCTGGAGGTGGTCCAACGCGCTATTGAAGGTGCCCAGTATTTCAGTCCTTGCACACCCTGTATTCGTTTAATTGTCTTGTTTTTGAGATCAAGTGAATCTCTCATCTGTGTCATTATGTGTATTAAATTTCATTTCAATCCGATGCTTTCTTCTTAAGTCGCTATTTTCAATGTTCCCGAGTTGTACTTAGAGTTATAATCAATCGGAAAAAATCAAGGGCTTTGGAGTGGGGGGGGTCCGGACCCCTCCCCCTTGTGTGTGCCACTGACTAGATGCGATACATAGCCTAAACTATTAAATAATTACACTAACATAAACCAAAAACTTGTTTAAATCATTATACATTTTTTTTATATTAGTCCCAAGTTTAAAACATGATAAGAACGATTGCAAAAATATATAAATGAAGATTTTCGATTTCATATATAAATGAAGATCGAACCTACTAAAAAAAATAAATAAATAACCATTATTATCTCTTAATACAATATCAGTTATACAGACTCAAAAATTTCAAGTTGGATAACAGCAATGAGTATATATCTAAGATTTTCTCCCAGTGTAGTACTGACCATGTTTTTATATAAATTTAACGGACCTCAACTTCGTATTATGTTGGACTCTTTAGCTCAGCGAAACTCAACCTGCGGCCCATGGGCCTTTTTAAGTGGCCCAGTCATGGTCCATTGCTCTGAAAAATTCATTTATGAAAATTTGGTGGAGAATTCTTTGTCAAAAAAATCAAATATATCAATTTTGCTTTTTTCTATCGATGTCGTGTAAAGGTGCGGATTGATATATTTTTTTTATTGGTAATAATAGACAGTAGTGGAGTAGCGACCATTTTAAGAGAGGAACTAATTTTTAACTATCTTTCATATCTTACATGCGAAAAATGTTCGAAGAAAATAGATCGTTTCAAGACTATTTTATAGTGAAAAACAGGCATGGTTCTGTAATCGTTTGATCTGTCACGAAAGTGTATTTAAAAAATACCAATGAACAGGAATTATACACATTTAATGGCCCTTTTCTTCGAAGATCTTTTTCAAGAGATGATAATAGCCTTTCTTGAATAAACTTTACAAGAGCAAAAGAGTGATTTGTTAGTGGTAATGTCACAGCGGCGGTAACAAAGGTATCCAAAAAATTTATCTTATTGGTAGTCATATGAAACCGTTCACTGATGCAGAAATTGTGAAAGAATGATTCTTAAATGCTTCCAATTTAGAAAAATTTAGTGATAAAAATAAAAAATAATAATAAATCAAAATAGGAGTTTTAATATTTTGATCAATTTCCACATTTTAAATTTTCTTTGCTATCTTGGTCTTAAAGCATTTCTCACTCCCCCCATTAAATCTCATGTTGCGGCCCGTGTGGAATAGCTAACATATATATACGGCCCGGCAGATAAAAAGGTTGCTCTAGCTCCTCTTTACAACCTACATATATTTTACTATCATATTTGTTAGCACTGATTTGACTTGTTCAATTCCTACTATTATAGCTCACAACTCTATATATTTATTTATTTATCTTGGTGGAATTTTCAATCGTTAATAAAATACATTTTAAAGCGCTCCATTGAGCTGAAATTTTATTATTTTGGATGACAATACAATAATTTAATTATAATTAATAAATATTAATTGATTAAACTAATTATTTAAAGAATTACAAATACAGCCAAGTTGGCATCATTTTTGGCGACTTGTGTCAAAACTTGAAAAGGGTTTTTTTTTTCGCGTTTTAAAGCATTCAGTTGAACTGAAATTTTATATACACAATTATTTTGGATGGCAATACGATACTTTAGTGATAATTAATAAAAAGTAGCTCAAATAAAATTTTTCTTTGTTGATCTAAGTAGGAATTGACTTAAAAAAAACTTTGAAACTACACGCGGGTCATTGGCGACGGACCTCGTAGCTCTGCACCTCGGTCAAGTGATGAGGACGACACTTGACCTGATACCTCTCTCCAAACTGCCACATCACAACTACGGGAAGATTTTCACCCGTGACAGATTTAATGTGAATCATCTCGTCTGTATGGCAGGTTCTTAGAGGCATCAGGACTCGCGACCATTACCACTCAGTTACCATAGTTACATATTTGTTAGCTTATATTTTAGTGGATTACAGCTTTTTGAAGCAAGACAAAAAATAATTTCATCAGTTTATCAGCACATGTAAAGGGTGTTTTTTTTAGAGGTACAGAACTTTAAATTGCAATAAAACAACGATGTATTATTCGATTGACATGAATTTTTTTTATTCGAAAGATAATCTTGTGGCATTACGTTTTAAATATGATTTCTGGCATGTGACTGCCACGGCTGGCTCGGATGTAGTCCAATCTGGACGTCCAATTTTCGATGACTTTTTCCCACATTTGTGGCCGTATATCGGCAATAATACGGCGAATGTTGTCTTCCAAATGGTCAAGCGTTTGTGGCTTATCCGCATAGACCAATGACTTTACACAGTCTCACAGAAAATAGTCTAGCGGTGTTAAATCACAAGATCTTGGAGGCCAATTCACAGGTCCAAAACGTGAAATTAGGTGGTCACCAAACGTGTCTTTCAATAAATCGATTGTGGCACGAGCTGTGTGACATGTTGCGCCGTCTTTTTGGAACCACAGCTCCTGGACATCATGATTGTTCAATTCAGGAATGAAAAAGTTAGTAATCATGGCTCTATACCGATCACCATTGACTGCAACGTTGTGGCCTTCATCGTTTTGAAGAAGGATTCCACCAGCCCATAAAGCGCACCAAACAGTCAGTTTTCTGGATGTAACGGTGTTTCGACATACACTTGTGGATTAGCTTCACTCCAAATGCGGCAGTTTTGTTTGTTGACGTAGCCATTCAACCAGAAGTGCGCTTCATCGCTAAACAAAATTCGCTTATGAAAATCGGGAACAACGGCAATCTCGTTTTGGGCCCATTCGACGAATTTACGCCTTGCTTGATGATAGTTTTGATGAATTACCAAACCAAAAACTGAGAATAAATCACTTGACAGCTGTTAAATCGGTCGCCATCTTGGAAAGTAATGCCAACTTAAACTTCTATACCTGTAAAAAAAACACTCTTTATTATTAAGTAAGCTATTTTACGTATATATTCGAAAATAAATACAGTCGAACCTCTATATTGCGAATTTTTCTATATAGCGAACTTCTTCCAGGAACCTCGAACATTTCACGATTTTCTTCGTAAAATAACCTCTCTATACCGAAGTGCATTTTCTATGTAACGAACTTTTTCTTTTGTGATTTAATTTTTGTTCTCCCTTTTTTTTTAAGTATTTGTGAAAAAATTTCACGTTTTATTCTTTAACACATTTTATGGTGGTCATAAATCTTAACTGGTTTTGTTAGATCCTAACTCTGGACTTATCATCCAAGAAGTGCAACCTTTAACCCCCATTGCCCAGTTCACTAAAAACATCTTCGATATCCTCTTTCACCCTCAGTAGCGTTGTCCCGTGTCCCTGTGTTCTAATTAAAATATTGTATGTTTAATATTACTTGTATGTTTTAAATTATAAAATGTTCTTAAAATTCATTAATTTTAGTTTAAAATTATTTTCTTTATGTTGAAAATACAGTGAATTTTTCGACATTCTTTTTTCTTGTTTTCTGAAAAAAGTATTTCTGAAAAAATTTTAAGTTATTATCTCTTTAAAACATTTTATATTGGTCTGAAATCTTGAATTGGTTTTATTAGATCCTAACTCGCCGAGAGCAATAGAGTTCTAGACATTTTATCCAAGAAGTGCAACTTTTAACCCCAGTTCAATAGAAACATCTGATACCCTCTTTCACCCTCATTGGAGTTGTCCCGTGTCCCTGTGCTCTTATATTAAAATAATGTATGTTTAATATTACTAGTATGCTTCAAATTTTTAAATGTCCTTAAAATTCATTAATTTTATACTAAAATTATTTTCTTAATATTGAAAATACAGTTAATTAATTCCCCGACATTTTTTTTTCTTGTTTTCCTTGATTTTTCTTTTTTGATGAGTAAGATATATAAAATAAACATATATTAATTTTTTTAAAAAGTGTGAATAATTACTTTTTTTAATATAGTGTTTATGAATTTAAAATTTGTTTTATGTGGTTTATAAAGTATATTAAAAGATGAACCTCTTTATAACGAACTTTTTTCTGTGATTTAGCGACTTCGTTATATAGAGATCCTACTGTATATATACGTTACCGTTAAAGTGCATAATTCAGTTATTTCATAGAATAACTAGGTATTTCATGAAATAACTAGACAAGTCAGCTAAAGTATATCATAAAAGAAAATTTTCATACTTTACCTAGTTATTCTGAGAAATAACTAATTGTTCTATAAAACAAGTAATATGGAAAAAAAATTAATAACTAATTGTTCTATAAAACAAGTAATATGGAAAAAAAATTAAGTCAATTCCTACTTAGGTCAAACAAAGAAAAATTTTATTTTAGTTACTTTTTATTAAATACAATTAACATAAATATGTATATGCATATGACAAAATCACATTAAATGACAAAATAGAAAGCGATTTTCCTTGCGATTTTGCATTTTCTTTCATATACAGTTGACAAAATGATTATTTGTACACCACTTTTTCTTCGTTTTTGATGAAATAAATACCAATATTTTAGTTGCGAATTAATCATGCATTTCTTTAATGCGCCTAATTGTTGTATGCAAATTATTTTTCTTTTTAAGTGTAAAAGTAAATTGTAATCTGGAAAAATGTGAAAAATCGTTGCAAAAAGAATATTTGTACAGAATTCTTTTGGTGTAAGTATGGCAAAAGTTTTGATTAAACTTTTTAAATTCAACTTAGTTTTTCATACGTTTTTCTTAGTTTATCAATAGTATTTAAATAGTTTCAGATTATATTTAAATTTACAACGTTTTTCTTAGTTTATCAATAATATTTAAATAGTTTCAGATTATACTTAAATTTACAGAGATAATCTTGAAAATGGCTCCTAAAACCAAAGAAATTTCATTAGATATGAGAAAACATAATACAGAGCTCCATAAAGAGAGAAAATCTTTCCGGGAAACAGGAAAAATTTTAAAACTGTCATTTATAACTGTTGGTTACATCGTAAAGAAGTATTTAGAGGCCAGCAGTGATGAAAATAAGCCCAGACCTGGTGGTCCGAGTAAATTGACTTCAAGAGCTAAACAAATGATTGTAAGGTCAGCAACAAATAAACCAATGACATCAGCTCAAAATATTGCCAATGAACTTCTGTCATCATGTAACGTTTCAGTGTCTGCTCAGACAATCAGAAATGTACTGCACAGCGTTGGTCTGAAAGCCAGAGAACTCCCAGAAAGAAACCTTATATTAGTGAAGTAAAGAGGAAAAGACGTCTAGAGTTTTTGCCATGAAGTACAAAAATAAGCCCTTGGATTTTTGGAAAAAGGTTATTTTTTCTGATGAGAGCAAATTTGAGTTTACACCACCAAGTATTCGAAAAATTTGGAGAAAAAATAAAACAGCTCTTGAACCCAAAAATGTACTTCCCACATTTAAAACACGGTGGCGAAAATGTTACGGTGTGGGGATGTGTAGCTCATAATGGAGCGGGTAACTTAGCCTTTATTGACAATAAAATGAATGCTTTAGCTTATATCGATGTGCTGCGACATAATTTGTTAGATAGTGCTAAGAAATTGAGCACACGGAGAACACTTACATTCCAACAAGACAATGACCCGAAGCACACCGCTATAGTTACTAAGACCTGGTTGCTTTTATCATGCTCCAAGGCGACTTGAAACACCTCCACAATCTCCAGATCTTAATCCTATAGAAAATTTATGGATGCATTTGGACACTGAAGTTCGGGGAAAAAATATAACAAGTAAAGAGAACTTAAAAGAAAAACTTCAAGAAGTTTGTAGTTCCATTGAGACACAGAAATCACAAAGAAATTAATTGAGTCAATGCCAAGGCGTCTTGAAGCAGTTATAAAAGCCAATGGACTGTTTACAAAGTATTGAAATTTCATTACATTGTTGCATATGTTTTGTTAATGTTTACTAAGCAAGTGTACAAATAATCTTTTGTATAATTTTTTTTAAAAAAAATCACTAATTTCAAATAAATGTTTATTTTATTTTTTATTGTGAAAGAATCTTATTTTTTAAAACAATTTAAATGTATCTCAATAACTTTTAGTTATGTTACTTAATTTATTTTTGAAGAACATACAAAATTTTAAGTGTACAAGTAAACATTTTGCCAACTGAATATGGTGTTGGGCTAATTTTTGTTTGTTACTATTTATTCATTTATTAAAAATTATTCTAATAAAATAGTATAGTAAAAATGAAAGCACATTCTCAGAAATTAGGCCGTCCCAGGTGGGAATCGAGCCCACAACCTTTGGATTAGAGGTCCAACGCGCGATCTATTGTGCTACAGGGACACAACGAATGGTTTTCCTCTCTGTATGCTGTTGGACTATTATATATGTTTGTTACTATTTTTTTTTAATTTAATGTATGAAATAATTGAAAAAACTTAATTAACAACAAGTGTCATCCACTACAAGTTTTAAAAAATGCATTTGAACTCGAATGGATGAATGGAAAGTATTTTATTAACGATTGAAAATTTGAACAAGGTATAAAAATTTTATTTAAATATAGGGAGAGAGTGAGCTATATAATAGTAGGAATTGAATAACTAATGATCGACCATAAAATGTGAAAAATAAAGAATTTTTCAAAGTTATTTCATAAATTAATTGATCATAAATATCTAAAACCTCTCGAAAAATACATTTTACCTCTATTGCGGGTGATTTAATTGATAAATAATAAGCAGATGCAGATGATATAACTTATTACTGCTCATATTGCAAACATGAGTTAAACAGAAAGGAGAAGAAAGAATGTTTTGCATCTGTTGCTGGCACAATTAATTTTTCTACTCCTTGAACTTCAAGGATATCATAATGCTGGAGTAATATCAATAGTCACGTGGTACTTTTTTCTACGCTGTTTTAGCATTTTTTACTTCTGCTATCAAAATAAAAAAATTTCACGAGTACGTGCAGGTCTTTTTTCTTTTGTGTGTGTGTGACCCAAGATTATTAAATAAAGATTCTCTCAAATTTCTCGAATTGGGTCTTTCTTATTTACAGGTTAATCTTCCATTCTAGCAGAAGTCATAGCTTGAAAACAGGTTGCAAAAATATTTGTTCATAATCCAACATGTAAAACGTTAACATATATACACCGCCTAAACTCTACGTTTAAAAGCCACGGAATGAAGCGTACACACACGTCATTGTAAAAGCGAGTTACAAGCGGTTCAAAGCTGATTAAAAGCAGCTAGAATCGGTTCACAGAACTTTCTCGAGTGCTGTATTTCATCCTTTTACACAATCAAGTAATCGTTATTCTATAAAATACTTAGTTAAATCGTAGAATTCAATGATTTTATGTGCTTTAGCTCAGTGCTCCGCAACCTTTTTATCGCTGCGGACCGGTCAACTTTTGATAATTTCACCGCGGCCCGCTGAGGGTGGGACACGTTGATTGTTTATATTTTAGATTGTTTTTATTTAACAATTTTAATTTAGTTACATTTAAATATGCCTTCAGAATAAAATATAGCTACACCATAAATGAATAAAGTAATTTAACGTGGAATATTAAGTGATTTCCGTGGAAAGTTAAGCAAATCCGAGAGCAATGCGCCACTTTAAATAAAATGACAATAGTTTAATGTTTTTTAGACGGTCCGGCACCATTTGATCCACGGACCAGTACCGGTCCACGGACTGACTTGTCCAATTATTTAATGAAATATCTAGTTATTTTAAGAAATAACGTATTTCACACCTTAACGGTAACATATATATAAACGAAAACTATTAATCGATAGTTTACTTTCAGTTCTCAAAGCATGATTTTTACTTTACCTTAGTTCAAAAAACATCAGAGCAGTTCCACCTTAGTTCAAAAAACATCAGAGCAGTTCCAAAAATATCAACATTATCACACAGTTATGATAAAAAATATAAATAAAAAATGTTTTCTCTTACCACTTTGCGTAGTTCTGAAGCATTGACTAATTCTCCATTATGAGCTAAAGCAAGCTTTGCTTGTTTCATGTTGACAACAAAAGGCTGGGTGTTTAAGTGTTCTGTGCCTCCCAATGTTGAATATCTGGTATGTCCGATGCCCAAGTTTCCTTTCAGTTGGGCTAAATCATCTTCCTTGAATGAATGATTGACCAAACCGGACCCTTTGTGAGACTGCAACTGTTTTTGATCTCCATTGCTCGTTACGATGCCGCAGCTCTCTTGACCTCTGAAAAATAGATATGCGTTTTTTTAATTTTTATAAAAAAAAAAAAAAAACATAAAATATTGGAATAGTTAAAACTGGCGATCTGCGAATTCACCTGCTCAGTAATATGAGATTATATGCAATCATCTGAGTTTAGAGGATTATAATTATTTCTTCTTATACTGCTTGCACACTCATTTTAAGATCTATTAGAATACCAAAATGACATGAATCCTGAAATCAGAAAGAGGATTATTGCAGCTAATCGCTGTTTCTTTTGTTTAAGATCAATACTGAAGTTTCAATAAAAGAAAGATAAAAATCCTGTTGTATAAGGTATTGATTAAATCAATTTTGACTTGTGCCTCAGAGACATGGATCTTGACAAAAAAAAAAAAAAAAAGATCCTGACAACTTTTGAAAGGAAGGTCCAGCGAACCATGTTTGGTGCCGCTCTCAATTATAACAGCTGGAGAAAAAGATATAATTTTGAAATATATAAGATTTTTAACAATGATGATATTATTAAGTCCATACTAAGTAAAATGTAATTGGCTTGGTACTTAGTAAGAATGAGCCCAGAACGAAAAGCACTGAAAATTTTCAATGCAACTAACTCCCTCTAATAAAAGACCAAAGGGAAGGCCCAAAAGAAGATGGAAAGACTGTGTGGATGAGGAATTTGCCATTCTAAAAGTGGAGATCAATTGCTGGGAGAAGGGTAGAATGGGGAAAAACTTCCGAGGAAAGGCTCAGGCCCACAAAAGGTTGCCATGCCGATGATGATGAAAAAAGTCCATATTGATAGAATTTGATGGTATGGCAATATAAGTACAGTCAGAGCCCGATTTAACGAATTCATAAGGACAGAACATTTAGTTCGTTAATTCGGGATTGTTCGTTACATAGGGGTCCAAACAAAATACAAATTTTTTACAGTTACCCTTTGAAAATTCTATAATAAGTTAATACACCAAAAAATATCCATATTTAGAAATTACACACCTTTTATACAGCAACTTAAAATACTATTATTGAATTATTACGCATCAGTTAAGTGGAAATTTAAAATATTGACTAATAGATGTTTAACAATCTCTTTTTAATTCCTGACTAGAGAGAATTTTTTTCGACTTCACGCAGAGAAGGAAATACAGCGTCCTTTACATCCCGCTACACTGAATTTTGTTTCCACAATTTCCAAACAATGTACAGCATTAGAAATGGTAACAGTTTTGATAGGATTTTCATTATCAATTTTTGCATAAAAATTGTTACGCATTCGTTTCCGACAATCTATCATGCCTCACAAATTTTCAGAAACAAAATTTTCTGCAAAACCGTTACAATATTACAATAAACCTCACTTCTCTCAAAAAAGAAAGAAAACCGTAAAATCTCTTAAAATATTCCCTGCGTAGCGGAGAGGAATGAAATAAAGGGATTTCCTGTCCCATTCAAAGTTCACGCGGTAGGTTATACTCATGGCTCATCTATACCTGTAAAGTCTAATAATGGACTTGCACCCTTCGCTGACGAAATTTTCTACTTGCAATAAAAATCCCTTTCTGTTCCGGGCAAAATGGATTTCATTTGAAAAAATTTTTTCGGTTGTTGAAATAATGCGTTAAATAGGGGTTCGTTAAAGCGGGGTCTGACTGTATAACTACTTTTTCGTTTGACAAGCGCACCAATAATCATCGTTCAAGGCTGATTAAAATTTTTGAGCTAAATATCAACCGGGAAAAAAATGGAACTCATATAAAAAAATTAAGTACAGCTCTTAAAATTCGATCTTATTTATTCCCATTACATTCAGTTATCATTCTACTAATAAAAGAATGCTAATCGCAAATAGACAACATAGTATATCTTAACAAAACATTCCGATCACCTAAAAAAATATTCACTTTTAAACTATTCAAAATTCCAATTTTAATCGGGAAAACTTTCCATATAGTTGAGAATTTTGATATTTTTCCATGTAATTTAATTTTGTTTTCTGTTTACGTTATTAGAATTTTAGAAAACAAGGGTGAAATATGGCAAAAGTAACTGAATAGCTGTGGCTTTGACTTATTGAGTGTTTACTAACATCTCTCGCACTTTCACACACACACACAAGCTACACATAGGCTACTGGCGACGTAACTGATATTTTTTATTTGCTATGGAAAATTAGAATATAGCAGTTTTTAGTGACAAACAATGGCGAGAATTATTAAGAGGACTTGGTACCCTAAAAATCACAAACCTATCGTTTTATTTATTTTCATTTAATCTTATTCTTTGCATTATTATCTTTCGATTGATATATCACTTGTGCATGTCGGAAAGTTAGAAGTTGAATAAAACTTCATTTGAAAACAAATTAGGCAATTCAGCCACACCCCCTTTTTAGAAAAAAAAGCTAAAAAATGCGTTATGATAAAAGAAAATCTATTTTATAAATAGAAATAATAACTATAAAAAAGAATGTGTAGTATTAAAAGCATAATATTTCCGAGGCAATACGATAATGTAATTTTTCTTCCTTGTGAAATGTGTGCATGTAAAATTTTTAAATTAAGGCATTTTATATTAATAATTTTTTAATTTCAGTTTATTCCTGATATATTTTTCATACAAATGTAATACTTTAATATTATAAGAAGAAAAACAGCTAAAATTTCTGTCGTGACAGAAAAAAAATTTTTTTTAAGTTTTTCTTGAGTTTTCTTGTGCAATTAGTACTCTCTAAAAGTTGATCATTTATAAAAATGTGTGGGTAGAAAACATATGAACATGCAATTATTTTAAAGAAAAACGTATAAGTAATATCTTAAAGTGGTATTTTAAGTTTAATTAAGCTTATAATAATTATTTTTTCAGAATTATAAACTTTAAAGTGGTTTTTCTCAGTTTGTGTTTTTCGAAACCTTAGTGCATTCAAAATGCTACTCCTTCGACTATTATTTACCAATCACTTCAATTTTTTTCCTGCGTGTTAAAAATAAAGCATGTAATAAAATTAGGGATCCGTTTTGCTATAAACTAAATACTTTTTTTAAAAAAAAAATAAAATGTAAGACATGTTGGCTTTTTCGTTAATTTTTAGCCTGTATATGAACATTTTATTTTTTTTTTT